CACCCACATAAATGTACTTACGTCTTACGCTAATGTTGATGGAATGCAACATTCTTGTCCAACAATCATACAAACTATGTGCAAGTCTCTTATGGATTATTCGATATCCCATCTCGAAACATCCATCGACTTGGAACTGTATTTAAGATCACGGCTTTCAAGGTATGTTCCATGATCACCATCTCTATGCGCAACCATACCTTATAACCGTAAGTGATCTAGGGATTTTATCTTAAGTGCAATTATAAGATAAATGCTTTCTCTTAAGATAAAGAAATGCCTTATTCATAATATAATTCCAATAGACTGTATTTACAAGTAGAATACGTCCAATTAGATTGGAACGCCGGGTACCCTACTCTAACACCTTTGTGGGGTGATGTAAAGTATTTAATCACCATTATAAATGATTTCTCACGTTATGGCTATATTTATCTACTACATGAAATGACTCAATCATTGGACTATCCAAAAATATACAATGATGAGATGGAAAGATAGTTAGATAGATAAGTAAAAGTTGTGAGATCTTCTTAGATTGGTGAATATTATTGTAAGTTCAATGAAAGAGGATAATATCTAGTCCATTTGCAAAGTTTCTTGAGATTTGAAATTTTTGTGTGCAATATACTATAATTGAGACTCTTCAACATAATGGTGTTGTTGGGAGGGTAAATCGTACTTAAAAGGATATGGTTAGGAGTATGTTGAGTAATTCAACATTAACGTGCTCTATGTGGATGTATGCATTAAAGACTGCTGCATACTGGTTAAACATGGTTTCTAGTAAAGTAGTTCCTAAAATATCTTATGAACTATGGAAGGGTAGGAAACCTAGTTTAAGGCATCATCGTGTTTGGGGGTGTCAAGCAGAAGTAAAAGTATATAATTCACATGAAAAGAAACATGATCCTAGGACAGTCAGTGGTTTTTCATTGGCTATTCGAAAGGATATAAGTATTATAGACCTAACTATAGTACGAGCATAGTTGATTCCAGCAATGCTCGGTTCATTGAAAATTATAAAATCAGTGGGAGTTTGAAACCGCAAAGTGTGGATGTCAAAGAAGTTCGGGTTGAACAGTCCAAACCCGAGAGTCCATTAATAGTTGTTATTCATTTTGTTACAATAACGTCATGTAACTTGGATGAATAACAAAATGATCCAAACTCACTTGATAATGAATTGGTTACAAACACTCAAGAAATTATAGGACAACCTTTGGTTGATAAAATCACAAGCCATGAAAAGTAAAAATTCTGAAAAGTTTATCAATGCCATGAAAGAATAATTAAAGTCAATGGATGAAAATAAAGTCTTCAATTCAATTGATTTTCCTGAAGGGTCTAAAAGAGTTGGGTGTAAATGGGTTTTTCAGAAACCAAACACAACTCTAAAGGTAATATCGAAAGATATAAAGTTAGACTTGTTTCTAAAGGTTACACCCAAAAGGAAAGCATTGACTACAAGGAAACACTTCTCTCATTTCGAGAAAGATTACTTGAAAATTGTAATGGTAATGGTGGCTCTGTATGATTTTGAGCTTTATCAAATGGATATAAATATCACCTTCTAAATGATAAACTTAAAAGGAGATCTACATGAACTAATTAAAAGTTTTTTAGATCACAAGAAATGAAACGTTAGTGTGTAAGTTGAATAGATCGATATATGGACTAAAACAAGTCTCTCGTGAATGGTATCTTAAGTTTCATGATACCATCACAGCTTATAGATTTGTAGAGAATACCGTAGATCGGTGTATCTACATTAAGGTCAGTGGAAGTAGACTTGTTATTTAGTTTCGTATGTCGACGACATATTATAGTTGCTAATAATGTGGACATGTTGCACGACGTAAAGTATTATCTCTCTAAAAAGTTATGAAATAAAGGATGTGGATGAAACGTCCTTGCTAATTGGAATAGAAGTATTCTGGAATAGATCACAAGGAGTAAAAGTTTATCCCATAAAAGTTTTATTTGAGAGATAATGGATGGTTGTTCCGTATAATTCCAATTCATAAAAGGGACACATTTAGTCTAAAATAAATGTTCGAAAGGTGAAATGGAATGAAAACTGATGGAGGAAATTCCTTAGATATAAACGATTAGGAGTCTTAAGCGAGACGAACCTGAACTAGGTTTGATAATATATTTGTTGTTGGTACGTTAAACAACTATAAAAATGATTTTAAATGATTATGCTGCAAAGAAATTTATAAAGTACTTACAAGGCATTAAAGAACACATGCTAACTTAAAGAAGATCCAAATTATTGGTTATAATTGGATACTCGGATTCAAACTTTTGCTCATAATGTCTAAAGGAGCAAAATTATGGAAAGGTGGAACAAAAGTCCATCATCGCGACTTCCATGGTGTAGGGTTGAGTTTGTGGTATGCTTTGAGGCCACAAATCAAATTTAGGTCTACGGTGCTTTATCTTAGGACTTGGAAATGTCGACATCTTGTCCAAGCCGCTAAGAATTATCGCAGTATCGTAGCAATAATATTTCAAGGAATGACAAGTATTCAAAGGGTGTGAATCACATAAAATTAAAATACTTGGTCATAAAAATAGAAGTGAAGAACTAAAGTGTCATTTGAGCATTCTAGTACTACTTGCATGAAAGCGGATCCATTAAAAGGGTTATTACCTATAGCCGTTGCAAGGCATATAAAGAAAATTGGGAATAACGAATGGGGCCTTGTTGGACTGACTGATACTGAATGAAATTGCTCAATTAATGATTTTGACACTTATTGAATTCGATTAAAGATGTTTGGTTCTTCACATACAATATCATCATTATGGATATTTGATTTTATAGTATATACATAAATGTTGGATGACATATGGTTATGGTACGAGTAGTTTGTTCCATATTAAAGTGAAGTTGAATTAGAAATGATTTGTGGTACATGGAAGGGATCATGTCGCTCGAAGACTTGTGACCGCCATGACTCGGTTAATTTCTAGTTTGATTTTAAACTTATAGATATATGTATTCAATTATAAGTTTGATGAAAGGTGCGCGCTTAAAGTAGTTCTTTGGGTTTCGACACTTATATGGTCCAAGTGGGAGAATGTAATAATATTTTATATATTATTCTATTATTGTGGACCATATAAATTAATTGGACCTAATTGAATTAATAGTCAAACTTAATTAAGATGAATATGTATTTAATGGATTATTAATGTTCTAATATAAAAGAGTCCAATTTGTGATGTTTGACTTGGACAGTAAGTTAGGTTAGAACATGGGGAATGTTAGTAGGAATAGGTTTGTAGGATTCCTCCTATATATACTACATGCCCATTTCTCCCATCTCATACGCAAATAAAGTTCTCAACATCAAGGGCTTTATGAAAAGACGAGAGAAGCGGGAGAGAGAAACAATTCATAGGCAAAGGGAATCCATCATTGAAGATTATGAGAAAGATAGATCCATGACATCACGAGGACGAAGAGATCGCAGATCAACATCATAGATCAAGAAAACAGGGAAGGTCTATAAGCTGGATTCTTGTAAGTTCTATGTGCAATTTAATTTATGCAAAGATCCATATTCTATGAATTGATAGAATTACATGCGTAGGGTTTATTCAATTCCGCTTAATAGTTATGAGTATGCCCGTTAATTTTCTTACATTAAGGACATAGGTTTGACTGACAAATGAGGACTTTGATGGGATTATGCAGAATTTATAGGCTAATCTTGGTAATTAAGCGTGACCTTAATTCCATCTAAAATCTAAAAATACTTACCGCAACCTCAACATGTCAGTTGACCCATCGATTGTACTCTTTTTGAGATTTACGTTATTAATATAATTATCGTTTGATTAAAAAAAATAAAAAAATAAAAAAAATAAAAAAAAACTAGCTTGTCAGCACTTAGCATACAAAAAGGTGACAAAAGAAGAGAAAAAAAAATATTGAAAAAAACTTATCACACAATTTGACATGTGTTGAAATATCATGTCATCATTAATGTACAAATGAGGCTAACATAACATGATAATTTTTGTATGTAAGTATGAATTATTAGATAAATCACTTCTCAAACAAAATAATAAAAAATAAATATCGAAGCTGGGACAATGTACACATTCAAGTTGTAACGACCCAGTGTACCAAACAAAAAAAAAGTTGTAACCACCCAAATACTTGTAAAAANAAAGAACCCAAATACATCAGGATTCGGACCTGGCGAACAAAATTAATCTTTGGCCGCTGTAAGCCGTTCCGACGAGCGTGACCTCATTTCAGACGAAAGTTTCGAACTTTTGGAATCTCATAAAGCGCTGGAGACCTGTCCCAATACCGTTCTATTCCTAAAATCGCATCACCACCCATTACGCTTCTTTTCGAGGCTCCACACCGCTTGAATTTTAAAAACGCTCGGATTATCCACCGGAAAACTGACCCGGGAAGCTTCGGCGGCTGCAGAGAGTGGCGGCGGCCGCCGGAAAGATGCGGCATCGAGAGGGATTTCGAAGCTATGGCCGAATCGAGCAGCCTCTCGACTGATCTCAGCTCGAACGAATCGTACAGCGAGCTGCCACAGTCCCATATATGCTCCGATGATTGTCTTTCCAACGTGTTCGCCATTTTTATTCTGTTTTTTTTTCTTTTCTCTCTCTCTCTCCCTCTTAATTGTGATCAAAATAAGTGAACTGGTGGTTTAGCAGGGGAGACCTGTGGAGGTTTCTCCTTATATTTTTCCCCTTTTATATTAAATGGCTGGTGAATTTCACGAGTGTCATAATTTATAGAATAGAATGTATATAATATGTGTATAATTCTATTTATTATGGATAATGGAATGTTTGGAGAAATGGAGAGAAGGAGAGATGGAATGGGATACAGAGAATTAATGAATTATAGGCATGCATTTTTATGTGCTTTTCATGATTTGGGCCTGCGATATTAATTATGAAAATATTGTTTAAGATGTGAAATATAGGAGTTATAAAGTTGATTTCTTGAATTATATTTGGTTGACTTGGGATACCTAACATCAATTGCGAGGAAATGATTTAGAAAAGCAATTCGATAGTCAACCAGTTTATTACACTCGGACCATCTTTTTTACAATGGCATTATAATTTCTAGGTATTGAACACTCATCTTTACCCCGACAGACTATACACGGAATTGAATTTTCATCACCTTTTTCTTTTTGCACTGATTTTACTTTATCATTTTTGCAATTGAGAACATTAAGTCAAGAACCACTACCCAACTCAAATACAAGAAAATTGCAAAATTTGTTCCATAAAATGGGCGAGCTAATGAATTTGGTTCCAACGTATTTAAATTAAGTCCTAACTTTGCCATTCTTGATTGAAACGCAAAAGCTGCTTTTGACACTCTTTTCATAAGTCCTAATTTATTTCGACTGTTGATTTTATGTGAGGACAGTTGGATGCATTGAAGATTTGTCACTCTTATTATATATTGATTTGGAAAATGTCGTCAAACCTTCACCAAAGATGGTAATAATTGCCACCTTAGTGAGAGTCAACGTTGTCAAAGGTCGAGCTGCCTGTCGAGGTGGTCCGTTCATGATCATTCGGTAACCGGTGATCCGTGTTTGTCGTGTTCGTAAAACAAAATTCAAAATTAAAATTTTTGATCCTACGACCAGCTCACTGGTTTACATGTTTGTTATACAAAAACAATAAATTAATTGAACAACCAATCGTTATTTAATATATTGCAAGCATTGACCTACCCAAAAAAATTTCTCGACATGTCCGAGGTTTTAAAAACGTGATTTACATGCATGAATTTAGACAAGCAAGCGCCCTAATAGTTGGTTCAAATAATCTTGCAAAATCAAGTTATGCAATTTGAATCTACTATGGTTGTGTTCGTGCACACATTATTTACATAAGTTCTTTAAAATTCGAACTTTATACAAAAATTGAATTATCCTAGCTCTGATAGCAATTGAGTTATGTGAAAAACTTCAATGATTGTACAAGAACTATTTGTCTACAAAAATAAACCTAAGTACAACGGATCTAGAGATTAAGATTAGGTTCTTAAGATTTTAAATTTAGCGCAGTCTTTTAGACGATTCACGATTTACGGGACTGGACAAATTGGCTTATTTTTCTCAGGATCTTCTGTTGCATTCCCAACACCGACTCTCATCGTCATGATGGGCAACGAGCTTTGGAATCTTCCTCTCAATACTCGCATGTTTTGCTTTGCGGAAAGAAGGAAGATCTTTCTCATTTTCCTTAAGCTCACATTTTTCTCTCTCTCTTGGAACTCAAGTGGGGCGTGTGTTTTCAATGAAAGGGGTGGCCGAATCAATAAGGGAGTAGTGTATTTATAGGCTACAAGAAGGATCTTGAGGCGGTGTTAAAATAAGGCCTCCTCATAAATGTAGATGTTCTTAGGTTGTGGTCCACCTACCTCTAATGTATATGAATAATATTTCATTCCACTAAAAAAAATATTATTAAACTTTCTATTTAACCACCAAATTACAATGGGTTCCAGATTTATCTACTCGGTTTATCCATTTATGTTTAAGATACAGTATCCATAGACTAATTTAATTATTGATAATTTAATTACATAACTTCTTATTCCAAAACTAGTATTACTCAACCAGACTGTTGATTTAGCACAATAAATCTCACTTTTCTGGTGGATCAAAGAAGTATCTATTGAATGCATGTGCATGTTACTATTTACGGATTAAGAGTACGAGTAATAACTGAGGTTTAGTTTATTTATTTGGTCAGTACAAAATAAACTTATCCTACGTGCTTCGTTCAATACACTCGTAGTGTAATGTAATTCATTAGTCATGATTAACTAATTCCAAAATACATTAAAACTGTTCATAATAGTTAGTTCAATTCTATCTAGGTTGCGAAACACATACTTTATATTTTACAAGAGACTGATAGTATGATCATTTGTTCAACACAATGAACTATATTAATATATAATGTATAACAATAGAACATGCACACATTTAATAAAACATGATTCTCATTCAAATGAACATAAGTTCGTAACAAAGCTAAGATTTTAGTATCAAAACCAAGAACCTAGTACACCATGAAAAGGACCCATTAGAGAAATGATTACGGAGTCATAAGCCATATGTATCATCTCAAGACCAAGAAGACATTCTAACACTACAAGAAAATGGTGAAATTCCAACGAAAATTTATTTCAATAGAATTCCAACGGCAATTCCAATAGATATTTTAATGCTATTATTTCTGTTGGAATTTTTTCAGTGAATTCCAACGGAAATTACAACAAAAATATTCTATTGGAATGAGTTTTCCATTAGAATTTCCGTTGGATTTTGACAATTCCAACGGTAGATTTTCCAACGGAGGTGAAAATAAAAATTCCAACGGAAATTGCATATTCCAATGAAATTCCTATGGTAAAAAGCCGTTGAAAATATAATCGTTGGAATCATCAAATTCTATATAAAATTCCAATAAAAAACACATTCCAACGGAATATTTTCGTTGGAACCTTCCTTAATTGGACCTTAAGCCAGGCCCAGTCCGCCAAAGAGCTAGAAGTAGAAGTAGAAGGAAGAAAGGGGCTACGGTAAAAAGCCGTTGGAATCATCAAATTCCATCTAAAATTTCAATGAAAAACACGTTCCAACGGAATATTTTTGTTTGAATTATTCCAACGGAAGCTATACCATTGGAATATCCGTTGGAATTTCCATTGGAATATATTACCATAGAATTTTTCGTTGGGATAGAACATTTTTTTATAGCATAACTAAAGCCCTTAGTCTTCAATTATGCCACAGTTGTCTGTCAAAAATGAACATGATTAACATACATGTTCCTCTCGCGAGGAAATTAAAATATATGAAAAGTTGTGTTTGTAAAACACACTTCTAGAGTAGCATCTATTTCTATATTATAGGGACATGGACTTATCTAAAATAGTAGGTTAAATTTTACCTAAGCATTTCAAATTTACTAAATTTAGCAATTTTTAAAATAATTTAAATTTGAAAGAAAATAAGTATAGATTTTATTTCCTTCTTCCTAGGGGTTAGTAAAAAATTAGTTAAAATAATTATTTTTTTATTCCATTTGTACCTTTTGAGAACATAGATTCTTTTTTTATTGTGGATAATGTTCTAAAATTAATTCAATATCATTTTTTATAAAAAAAGAACACTGTTTTAATTTTTTAGATAGTTTTTTTAAATTTAATTTCAATATCATTAATCACAAATTTCTAAATACGTAACTTGTGAGTCTTCACTTTTATGTTGAAAATCCATTATTCTATATTTATGTATATCTATTAGTTGAATTCATTATCAAGTTTTGAAAAACATGACCGTCATTTTATTTCTTAAAAAATTTAAAGCTTGAACTATTAAAATTTAAAATACACAGTGCTTGAACAGATTTAGTAAAACCTTTATAGCTGAAAAATGGATGGAACATATCCTTAATAAATCAATATATTCATTGAATCGCACAATTTATACCATACTAAAAATATTATGCTTTGATTTCTTTTAATATTAAAACATATACCAACGCACTATGAATGCATGTATATCTATATTTATTAATATAAAAAGTGACCAAAGATTTACCTTAAATAATGAGAAAAACCGAGCCTAAAATTTTTACTTTACTGAATATAAGAATTCTAAAATATTTTTAATTTTGCCACCTTTAAAATCTGACAAATAACTTTAAAAAATAATTTTAAATTCAAAATCTGATAATAATTCTAAATATAAAATTTGATATCAAAATTTGCAGCACAAATGTGAGCATATATTTAGATAGGAAATAATAAATATAATGTACACCATATAGGTAAATATATATGTTATTTTTTATTTTTAAAATCACAATATATTAACATAAGTTATCAATTTTTTCATGCGGATGTGATTTTTTTAGAAACCTACAACATATGCGGGTAGTTATTGAGTTGTCCATAATACATGTAGACTCAATTTTGTTTTTATTGAAAATTTGCTACATTTTTAATTTGTTCTTTTTATGTATATGCTTCATATCTTTATGTTTAACTTTCACATATTTTGATTTTGATTAATCCATACAATCTTTCAGCATTAAAACTGCTACATGATAATTTATGTTTAAATTTATTACATAATAAATCCGTGCGCATAAGTTTTTAAAATGAAAATTGAGATAAAGAAGAATAAAATATGTTTTTCAAAATATTTTCTCAATACCGTGCAATATAAGATAATCTATTATCTAACAAATTTATAAAAGTTGCAAACAATTTTTTAAGATACATTAACATTTGAAATTACATTAAATTTAGTATTCTTAAGAGGTGATTAAAAAAATTGAATTATAAAATCTCATTAATATATTTTTATATTAATTTGACCTAATTGACAAATTAAATGATAGCTTTAAAATTTAAGGCAATTATAAATGGATTAATGAATGAGAAATTTAAAATAGGGAAAAAAAAAAAAAAAAAAAAATTCATACTAATATTTTGTGTGTATACCTTGAAAGGATACGTACAAAACCACCTTAAAATGAGTATTAGGTTTTATTCAACAGTTTAATATGTTCGTTTAGTCCAACATTTAATTTTAAAATATAATCTTAATATATTTGTTTAGTCCATCATTTAACTTTAAAAAATGATTTGAATATTACTTTCTCGTGCATCACACCAGATATACACTACTTTTTAGTTCTACAGCCTTAAAACATCGCAGGCTTCGCAGCGCACGGCCATACACTAGTTTTCAGTTCACTAGCCTTAAAAGTATAAATAGAGTTTCTCTGTGCATAATTTTTCCTTTGTTTCTGTCTCTCTGATTCTCTCTCACGATTGTTCTTATGTAAAACTTCATTACATATTTCCAATTTCAATGCTGCAAGTTTGGTCTTCAATTTTATTCAATACATAGGGCCTCATTTTGTGCAGCCTCTGTGATCATATAGTTAAAATTGGTTGAGAAACAGTATCGGTTTTGTTGGGTGGTTCTATGGGTGTGGTACCTCTTCACTGAGCTAGGAACACACAAAGAGCTAGTTCCAAATTTTCAAGGTTGGGATCAGACTAACTTTACTTGTCGATTAAATCTAGAGTTTGCTTAACCTCTCTGGATCTTGAGTGTGTAAATCAATGTACTTTTCTTTGCTTTTCATTACCTGTTTCTAAGTAGTGGTTGAGTGTGGAGCACAAAAAGAGTAAAAACTAAAGATTAGAATTTCATGAACTTGAATTTGCATCAACTAAAACCAGTCAGCATCAACTAAAACCATAACTAAAGATTAGACTAAAAAACATAACATTGTTCAACTGTGTTGAACACATAGCTCTTCAAGAATTAGTCTATTTCTCGTTCTCCTTGTTTTCGGCTTCCAATTTCTTGTTATAGGCTTCCAGCTCTTTTTTGTAAGCTTCCATTGCCTCTGCAGCTTTACCATTCCAAATTTGCTTCTCTTCATCATTCAGTTCCTTCACAATTAACAACCAATGTGAAAAATACCGACAATTTCGCACCACATTCTTGATAAATAATCGTTATTTTTAATATACCTTCCACTTGAGAGAAATGAGAGCATTGATAGTAGCATTGTTAGTCCCCGGACGCTCTTCGGCTAAATTCTTCCTAGCCTCTTTGCTGCATTCAAAAGAAGAGTAAAGTAAGAAATAGTCCAATTTAACAATAATTCGGTACAAAGAAACTCATGCCAAACACTTACCTGAAAAGAAGGTATGATGAAGCAGGCTTCTTGGGTTTATTTGGATCAACATTCTTTTCTCCTTTCTCTTTCTTCTGCTTTTGGAGGTTCTCTTTAGTTTTCTGCAGCAAATGGGTAAATAAGATTGAAGATTACATCTTTGGAATTTGCAGAGACACAAACACAAATCATTTTTACATGACAACAATCAGTTATTTCTGAAATAAGCTCAGCAAGCAACCTTAATCAGGGTTTCAGTTTTCTCTTTTTTCTTGAGCAACTGCATGGCTTCTTGCTTTTGAAGTTTCAAATGCTCTTCCTCTTCTTTCTTGAGGTGAGCAGTTTCTTCTTCTTTCTTTAGCTTGTACACTTCCATTTCTTGCAAGTATTGCTCTTTGTTTTTCAATGCCAGCTGAAAAATCCATATCAAAACAACAATCAGCTTCCCAAACAAAAGATAAGAGCGACTGAAACTTAAAAAAAAAAAAAATTGAAGAAATTGACCTTCTCATAAGGTTCCTTTTGTTGCTCAGTCATGTTTTTCCACTCCTCACCAGTGATCTTTGCAATCTATTTAAGGGAGACCAAATCACAATTCAGCACCAATTCTTAACAAGCATCTCCAAATTAATTCTCAGAATATGTAGACATTATTAAAACTTATTTTAAATATACCTCCAAGATTTTCTTGTTCTCAGCAAGCAAAGCAACACGACGCTCGTTTGAGAAAATGAAATAAGCCGACATTGGCTGCTTCGGTTTCAAGGGGTCTTTTTCCTTCCTGTCACACAAATATAAGCATTACTACATCAGAAAAGACATACAAACAATATAAAGAGTCTTTATATATATATAAACTCAACAGGACTCAAACATTCCAAGTAATTACTTCGTTTTCTTGTTATCTTTCTCAGCCTCCTGCTTAAACTGGAGATACTGCTCGAGCAACTCCATGGCAGTCTTTTGCTTGTGCTCGTCCTCCAAGAGCTTCATGGCTTCATGCTCACGCTTTTCATTTCCAATTATTTTCAAATAAGCTTCCTTTTGAGCTAGGTATTTTTCTTCATAAGGCTTCTTCTCTTCATCAGTGATTGCTTTCCATTTTGAGCCCAACAGGGTTGACATCTCCTTGAAATCAGCCTCTGGATTAGCTTTCTTTACCTAATTGCATACAAAAATCCCAAATAACAAGCTTCTCCGTAAAAATCATCTTATATATTCTGATGAATTGTTCATTGCAAATGTGTTTGTTTATCTTCAACAAAATATACCTCATTCCACTGATCTTTGCACCACAGAATATATGGAGGGGACGGCTTTTTCGTGGTACTCTTCTTTTTGTCTTTCTTATCTTGCTCTTGCTCTTTCATTGACAGCCCAAAGGAGAAATTCTATTTGGCAGAACACAAGAACCAAATATTAACAAATATCCATATTCGATCAATGTACCCTCAATATTTTGATCTATAATCAATACAGAAAGGACGCACAATCAAACAAAATGCAAATTCCCACAGAGAAAAAACGAAACAAAAAGGGACTGTTGGAAAATTTACTAACCATGGTGGGGTTAAATTCCTTCATCTTCTGCAATTTCTTAAGCTCAGTCTTGAGTTTCTCTTGCTCTCGATCCCTCGTCTCCAGCTCTTCCTCCTTCTGCTTCAGAGATTCCTCTTTCGCCTTCAGCATCTCCTCCGTATGCTCCTTCTCGAGCTTCAATTTCTCAAGCTTTTCCTGCATCTCCTGCAACTCTTTCTCGAAGGACGACACCTCCACCTCCTGCTGCTTCTTTCCCCCTTTCGAAGCACCTCCTTTCTTGGTCTTCTTGTTCGACAGGCTCTGGTGGTTCTCTTTTCCGGCGGGATTCGGCGCCGGCGGCTCGGCGGCGGGGGAGGATTCGACTAGGGTTCCGGCAATGATGTTGGCTACGCTAGTGGATGTCTGCTTCAATGCTTTTCGGGATTTCCCTCTCTTTGCTTTTGCTGGATCGGCAATTTGGGGGATTTCAGCAATAGCGGCCATTTTTCTGAGAGTCTCTGTGTGTGTGTGCAAGCGAGAGAGAAAGAGTGGGGATGGTTGCGTGAAGGTTGATGGTGAGTGACGTTATAAGAGCGGTAGGTGAACGGTCGGGAAATTTCAAAATTTGAATTATTTCTTAAAAACAGAAATTGAAATAGTCGTTGGGAGGGAGCCTTGCGTTGTGTTGCCATAAACGAGAACAAATGTCTTGATCTTTTCTTTTTAGTAATTTTGGAATGAGATAAAACACTATAAATATTACTGGTCAAAGTTACAAAAAACTACCTAAAAAGCACTGTTATCCAAGATTGGTATATTGCAAAATTTTAAGTTGAATTACAGAACTCATAATTATGAATATGAACTATTTAAAACCCGGAATTGAAAAGTTGGATCTCTCTCTCCGAAAAAGAAAAAAAAATCCTTTTTCTAGCCGCGACTGAATCTTTCGATATTTTCGCTACACGACTCAGCCCCATTTTGTGTCGAGGCTTGGTATTTTCGGACGATGGAGCTCGACAGTGGCGAAGCTACGTTCAGTGGCTGGAGTCGTCCGACACCGACGCTTTGCGTTGAACCACTTGTACGTAACAAAATTTCACCGTGTAAGACTCCATTAAAAAAATAATAAGACCCCGGCAACCAAAATTTCTGGCTTAAAGTTAGTATTATGGGTTTGTCCCGACCCCAGCAACCAAAATTTCTGGCTTCGCCCCTGGAGCTCGAGTGGCCGTGACCGACGGGATCTCGCCTATCCATGGCTGCCTTCTCGGTGCGTTGGTCGTCGAATTCCATGGCCGAGGCGAGAAGGGCTGTTGTGCTGTTGCGGGGTTGGGTAGTGGTGTCGGTTGCCTTGTGTAGGCGTCGACATGGTCGGTTTTTTCCCCTAAGTCCTCTTCTCCCCTAGTGCTAGGGAGGAGCGGACGGCCGGCGTGACAAGCCAAAGTTGTGGTGTGCGTCGGGTTCGTGACAAGCCATAGTTTTTTAATTAAATTATGTGCATTACAAGTTTGCTATTAGAATATATCAAATATAAGATATTTTAATCCTTGCAATTTTTTTACAAAATTATTCTCCATTTTATAATTGCATAGATATATAGATATAGATTTCAAGTTGCGGCAATTAAAGAAATAAAATAGTAAAGAGCGAAATATGAGTGAGCCTTTATTCTTGCAGATAAAAGTAAAACAAACCATCCCTTAGAGTAAGAGGAGATCAGCATACCAAAATAAAAAAAACAAACAAACCTTTGGGAAAGTAAAACAAACCTTGTCGTGACGCGGCTGAGGGGCCGTGCAGCGGCCTGGTAGCAGCAACTCAAAGGATCTCGACATTGTATGGGTAAGTCCAAAATTACGACTTGGCCCAAGACTTTTCCCCTTTGGGAATTTTTATCTTTTATGCTTTGTGTGCGACAGTGGCGATTTGGTGTGGCTCGAGGTGTCTTCTGCCTTTTGCTTTCCAGTTGACTCCATTTCAGGTTTTTCCGTTGCTTGCGGGTGCCGACATGTGTTCTTGGGTCGCCGGATCCTTTGTACTGCAGTAGAGCTGGGTTGTGGTCTGTTTCTGGGGGCCGGGAGGAGCGTTTGTGGGTTGCACCGATAGTTTCGGTGTGGCTGGAGCATTGTTGCCGATCTTGAGCCCTTTTCCCCGGATCTCTGGTGTTGAGTCCGAGGGAGGACCGATGTTCCGGAACTGGCTAGTGGTGTTAGTTGGATTCTGGGCAGCGGTGGCTTGTGGGTCAATTTTGATTTCTTTCGATTGAGAGTGGGTCGGCTTTTGGTTTCGTTTGGGGACTGGGACTACATCTTGCTAGGCAGTTTGACAGTGGCGGGTGTGACCCTCGATCTTCGGACTTCCCTTTGGAGCCGGCTTCCGTCCACTGGTTCAGTTCGGTCTCTTTGCTAAGGGAAGGCTCGTTTTAGTTTTTGTTTTCTTAGTCTTTTGTTTGATGATTTGTCTTTGTTCGTTTTGTGTCGTTGGTGCTTGCGTTGTTTAGGACTTGTGTTTTAGGTCTGGGCCGTTGACCTCTGTACTCCCGAGTCTGAATTTATTATTCCGTTGGGATCGTACATTACCCTGTTGGGGTCCCAACAGGGTTGTGTTTTTAGGTTATGTGTTTTTTGTGTTGTGTTTGAGTTTTGCACATTTGTGCTTTTATATAATATCTCTATCGTTTCGACAAAAAAAAAAAAATGTTTCAATTTCAGAGCCTCAGTTTAACGGTCTATCAATGAATTTGTCTTAACATTTATTTTTTTTATTTATATTTTTAAATTTCCAATTATTTTCAATTTTATCCTTCTCAAATTATATTTTATCGTTTTAAGTACAAAAAATAAATAGATAACTTAATACAATGATATGATAGATATTCATGTTTCTATATACATTAGGCCCATTATCGTTAATTTGACAAAATTGGATCCATTTATTCAGTTTAAAGGTAATTCAATCATACCAATTCTGCCATAAAAATAATCTAACTTTTTTTTTTTTTTTTTTTTTTTTTTGAGTATAATATTAATGAAAAAATTGTAACGTAAAATAGTATAAAGATGTATAACTATAATAGGATATAATAATACATATGACCCAAAAAATTATATACTTAATTTTATGAATTTTTATAATAAATCTAAATTTTTATAAAATATTAAATCTGATATTAAGTAAGAAAATATTAAATTTGATAAATATTGAGAAAATAAATATGATAAATAATATTAAAAATATAATTTAATTGTAAAACATACTAATAAATATGAACATAAGTAATAACTAAATTTTTTTTAATTAATAAGTATAAATGTACAACTTTAAAATTTATATTTATCAATGTAAATGAGCTGAATTGTTAAACATTTATTAATTATTTATTTTTATTAATTCTAGGTGTAAGTTTTAGGTTATAGACAATAGTTATTCGTGTTCATGTAGGTTAGATCTTTTAATTTTTTCATAAAAATAATTGATTATTATAATTTTAAATAAATTTTTATTTGTTATTAGCTTTTTGAATATAATATATAAATATCATATTGCATATATGAAATAATACTTGTTTTTATTAATATGTAGGAAAAGTAACTCAATTGAGAAATTAATAGGTAATCTTGACATAAAATAATGAGTGATTTTTAAGAAAATTATATGGACTAAAATGTACACGTGTTTACTATTTTTAATACAAAAATTGTAAACGAAATTACTACATAAAAATTTTAATGTTTAAGAAACAACACAAAAATTCTATATTATAATGAATCCAACAACAAGGTATTCCACTGAAAATTCCAAAGGATTTCATTGTTATAACTTCTATTGGAAAAATTTATTGGACATTATTACAACAGATATCAAATTATTACATTGAAATTTTCGTGGATTTAATATTTCATTTATCATTATTTATTGGCGTGTGAATTTTCGTCGGAATTTTTTTTAACCATATTTCAACTGTTTGAAAAAATATCGTTGAAATTGTAAATAACCCAATGGAAGTTTTTAAACTAGCTACAGTGGCGGATTTTTTAATGTTGGGGGCACTATATATTACAAAATACATACTATAAAAATAGCATAATGTAATTACAATTTATAAATTTTATTTTTTATAATTTATCATCTTTCTCAAATGTAATACTTTTTTTAACACATCAATACAATCACAATAAGTTCAAAATATTTTAGAAAAACATATTCTATCTCAGTTCAACATAAGAAAATCATAAAAAAATAATATATGTTTTGTTTATGAACAAAAAATTTAAGTTATAGTATAGCTGACTTGACAATATAATTGATGAATTTATAAATTACGAATATATAACTAGAATTCTACATAAAGTTAAAAATAAAAAATATATTTTAATGTTAGATAAAAATTATGTCGCAAAAGAGAGAATATAAGCTATCATCAAGATTAAAAAGAAAAGAGAGAGTTAGAGCGTAAAATTGTAAATTTGATAACTATCATATTTTCTTTAGTTGTGATATCGCATTTATGTCATAACTTTAATAAAGTTATGAGCTTAATTAAATTTTGATTGGTTGAGTTGTAAGTTAATTCTTTATGTATATTTCTTTCTTTTATTTTATTTTTTTCAGAATAGGGGACACGATTAAAATTATAAAAGTTCCCACTGTTTTTGTTAGATACCTTATCCTATATGTTNCTTGTTATAATAAATTAAAAGTATATGTGGAAAATGTATGTTTAACTCACAATATAGTTCTTCTATATACTTAGAATATTTTTTAATGTGTGTTGAGTGAGAAAAAAGCATACTTTATAATCTCCTTAATCATAATTCACGAATGTGCTAAGGCTATGAGACATGCTCAAACGCTACAGAATTCTTTGCGGCCGATTTCATTCTGTCATTTGGATTGGATAGATTTTAATTTACTTCTAATCCAAAAATAACTAGGCCTCAAATATTCATAAATATATTGGATATTTATGATCCTTATTAAGAGAATTAATATTTTTTTATATCATTTCCTATTCTAGATGTGGTTTGTATGTATATTATTTTTCCATAATCTATCTTTTTTCCTAAGTCTTTCTTTTAAAGTTATTAAAAATTTACAAACTTACATATAAATATAATTTAAAAATTACTATTTTTCTATTTACAATAAATTTTTTATATATAATATAATTAATCATATCTTTATGACTTTTAATATGGCATTTATATTTTACCTCAAAATAAATTAATATTATATTTATCGTTATAAATAAATCAAACGCTACAGAATCCTTTACGGCCGATTTCATTCTGTCATTTGGATTGGATAGATTTTAGTTTACTTCTAATCCAAAAATAACTAGGTCTGAAATATTCATAAATATATTGGATATTTATGATCTTTTTTAAGAGAATTAATATTTTTTGATATTCTAGATGTGGTTTGTATGCATATTATTTTTCCATAATCTATCTTTTTCCCTAAGTCTTTCTTTTAAAGTTATTAAAATTTACAAACTTACATATAAATATAACTTAAAAATTACTA